GCGTCCTGCGGCGCTCCTGGGATTTTTCCCAACAAAAACGCCGGGCAGGGAGGGAACCAATTCTCGCGGGAAAGGCCGGAGCACAGCAGCTCCCTCACAAATCCCATCAGAGCCATAAGCTGCCTAGCAAGATGTACTATTTTAGCCGGGCTGGCAGCAGATCCCGGTTTGTTCTCGGACATGGCGGGGGGGAGGTGGGGGGTGGAATTTTGCGATGGAAGGGCTGGAATTTCCCGCTGGAGAAAAATCTGGGAGCGTGCTCACCTTCTGCGGGGCGTTGATGACGCCGGTGTTGTAGCCGAACTGGAGGGAGCCCAGCACTGCTCCTCCCACGGCCAGCATCAGGCGGGCCGTCATCTGCGGGAAAACAGGGAACAGGGGTTAAATCCGGGATCCTTCCCCCCCCACCAGACCATTCCCAGGGAAGCCGGGAAGGCAGCGAGCACAAATATTCCAGAGAAAAGGCAGCGAGCACAAATATTCCAGAGAAAAGGCAGCGAGCGCAAATATTCCAGAGAAAAGACAAAACTCACTGTTTTTTCAGGTGCTTAGGGGGAGGAATAGAATAATTTCAAAAATATCATTTTGGGGGGGGTTGGAAAGGACCCGGTTTTTTGGGGCTTCCAGGAATTTCAGCTCCGGAGAGGGCGGGAGGCGTTATCTGGGCTCGCAGGGTCCCCCTGGAGCCCCCACGTGACCCCTGGCACCGCTCCAGCTCCGGCTGCTTTTTGGGGCCACGGTGGGGCCTCCGCGTTCTCCCCACTCTGGGGATGCTCCGGGTGCTGCTAACGAAGGTTTTTCCATGGGATCCTAATTAGGAGACGCCGAGCAAAATCCCGGTTAGTTGGCAAAGCCTTCCCGAGCCTCCTCTCGCTCCCGCCCGAGCAACAATCGGAGCCTTGTTCGGGAGCGGGGTCAGGGCAGGGCAGCGCTTGGGCCACCTTCGTTAACGGCCCCAATTATCCCGGGCAGGAGATTTTCCCAGCACTAGAACCAGGATCCGACATTCCCACTTAATCAGCTTTGGGATGAGCCACGTGAAATTTATAAGCCCCTTAATTTGAGGGGTCGGGGAGGGGGGAGGGAGGTTTTCCTTGGGGACCGACGC